GCCTACTTGTGATCTCCATCTGTCAAATAAATAAATAAAATCTTAAAAAAAATAGTTCTTACAACTCAATTAAAAATGGGCAAAAGATTCAAATAGACATTTCACTAAGGAGCTTCTGTGAATGGCTAATGAGGACATGGAAAGACGCTCAGCGTCATTAATCTTTAGGGAGATTTAAATGCAAACACTGCCACACACCCAGGAGGATGGCCATAACCCAAGAGACAAGACAATGCCAGAGGCTGGGCATGGTGTGGAGATGCTGGAGTCTTCATTCAGCTCTAGTCAGAAGGTACAATGGCGCTGCCCCATCGGAACACAGTCTGGCAGTTTTATGTTTATGTTCTCTGATGTGTCTGTCTTTCACCTGTTGTTGCTGGGTTTTTGATCACGCTGAGGAAGTTTTCTCCGCTTTCAGGTTATAGAGAAATTCACCTGTATTTTCTCCCAGTAGAGTGATTTTATTTACTATGTTGAGATCTTGGTCCACTTGGAATTCATGCTGCTGTACAGTGCGAGGAATAGATCCAATTTTATCTTTTTCCATATGCCAGTATCACTTAGGAAAGTCGTCCCCTTCCCCTACTGACTTGCAATGTCTCCTTTAGTGTGTACTAAATTTGCATATGCAAGTGGGAATATTTCTGGATCTCCTAGTCTGTTCCCTTGGTCTTTCTATGTATTCATGTGTCAATTCTATACTTTGGAAAATACGGAGGCTTTTTAGGACTAGCTAGCTTCTACACCTCGGTCTTCTTTGTTCAAGTTTTTGACTATCACTGGTATTTTTTCCTTCCCAATAAATTTTATAATAAAATTCTCTAGATCCAGCAAAAATCCTAATGGGATTCTTGTCATTACCTTTTATTTGTAAATTAATTTTGGGAAGATTGACGTTTTTATGACCTCTCTCTTCCTGTTATGTTATGCTTTTGCACTCACTGAACCTAACTTGTCCTGTAGACTTTTGTAGTTTTTCTCCTCAGGTTTTCAGAATTTCTTATTAAGTGTATGTCCAAGTATTTCGCTTCCTCTTTCTCCATAGTGCTTACTGTCTGATGTAAGTCATACAGTACATACGTGACGGCGTCCTCCGTCATTCCTCTTGTTTCATTTGTGTGTGTGTGTGCATGTGTGAGTGTGTGCATATCACACACACACACACGCACACACACACACACTATTGATCACATATCTGCATTTTATATCTGCTTGTTTACTTTCATAATTCACGGTAGTTTCTCCTTTGATCCCATGATCTTTTTAATAGACTGCATGAGTGTTATTGGTCTTGCCAGTCGTTAGTTTCTCAGCTTCAAAGTGTTTTTGGCTAGAACCCCGTCATTAGAACGAAGATCCCTGTTGTCCACGTTTTTTCCCTTGATATTCCTCTCCGCTGTGATGGAGGACTTGTCTCCTTGAGGCTCTCTTAGACGGCAGCGTTAGTCCTGGTTTCCCCTGGAGAGCCTGAGATGGGGACTTGCATACCAGCCATTTATTTGAGATGTGGTCCCAGGAAACACCAGCAGGGGGCATGAACGTGAGAGAGGAGGGAGAGGAATACAAAGGAAGGGCTCTTATCCGGCAGGTCTCCACTTGGGCAACTGGAAAGTAGGTTCTGGAAGACCGTGTAGAGCACCCAGAGTCGTCCGAAGCATGGGGTGAGGACACCTGGGATTGCCTCAGAGTTGTCCCAGTTGCGGGGTGAGGAAGCCAGGACGTCATCCCCCCTTTCCATCCGCCTGCTGGGTGCAGGATGCTTTCAGGGCCTTAAAGATCACCCCGCCAGTAGAGCAAACCAGGCCTGACCTCACAGTCTGTGCTAAACCAGGAGACTTTTGGGGAGGCTCTGGAGTCACACTGACTCCGAGTAAATCCTGTGCAGATGCTTTCTGGGTACAAAGGCTTTGTTCCCTCATCTGTATGTTGGAAATGATGACAATATCACATGGATTGAGATGTAGCTGTGGATGTCGTTGTGATGTAGGTACGGGTGTCGACATCGAGACACACAGTGGGGTGTAGAAGGAGCTAGAGATACAGGCAGATACAGCTGCAGAGGCCGGTGTAGACACACATACGGAGGCAGACAGAGACACAGGTATAGATGGGGACATAAGCATGCCTGGGGCCTGCTCCCATGCCAGGCTCTCGCTGGGACTTCGGATCCACCAGGGACAGGACTTCTGTGCCTATTCGACCCTCTGTCCTCGACTCTGTTCCCACTTCCCCACTCTTCTCAGGTGAGTGCTACCTTTTACACTGTCACGAGATGTTCTCAAGCCCTCCCCTGACTGGCCCACCCCTCCCTCCTCTCCTGGACCCCTTCCCACCAGCTCCGGCTTACTCTGGATTATCTTCTGGGACGGCACTGGGGCCCCTCTGCGGGCTGGTTTTCTCTTAGAACCTGAGAACTCTGGAGGGAGGGGCCTTCCCCATGACACAGAGCAGAGGCAAGTTCTAATAAAATCAGAGTGCTGGATTAAATGCGATTACATTGCTCATTATGGCAAGTTAAAGTGATGATTCCATTTATTAAGGCCATTTAAGGTGGACACTTTGGTTCCCCGTGGGTTTGTGTCCATCTCAAAGTGTCGGGTGATGGGGCCGTTCTCACGTTCCCAGAATGCAAAGGGCAGGTCGCTGGAGGAGGATGGGTTTCCTTAGGTGGGTGTCGTTGTGGTTCTGACTGTGGACGTTGACAGTATTTTGGGAAAGTTCACTCTGGGTCATACAGTCATGATCTGGGGACAGCTGGTCTGAATATACTGCTGAGGGTCACTAACCATATTTATTTTTGATCTTTATGTTTTAAAAATATTTTATTTATCTATTTGACAGAGAGAGAGAGAGAGAGAGAGAGAGAGAGCGCACAAGCAGGGGGAGTAGCAGGCAGAGGGACGGGGAGAAGCAGGCCCCCTGCTGAGCAGAGAGCCTCATGCGGGGCTCCATCCCAGGACCCTGGTATCATGAGCTGAGCCAAAAACAGATGCTTAACTGACTGAGCCTCCCAGGCGCCCCACTGACCCTGTTTAGAAAGGGCGGGCGGATGGAGCAGATCTCTGTGTAGCCTCTTCGCTCACGAGCATTTGGACTGGATTGATGTTGGAACAGACCAGTTTTCTGGGACCAATGGAGTCCCTGCAAATCCATGGATGTCTTTCTTCCTGGTGGAGGGGGCGAGACGAATGCAGAACCTGTCTATTTGATTGGATACATTCCTTGGCTTACTCCTGAGGCCACGGCCCGGAGCACAGCAGCTGCACGTTGGGTTCTCCCAAGGGTACAAGCCTCGAGCAGGGCTGAAGAGGAAAGAGGCAGGCACAGCCGGCCCCACGTTTGAGCGTACTTGCCCTTTAGAAGTCGAAGAATACTGTAGGGTTTTCAACGCAAACCTGTAAGCTCGAGACAGACTGTCAGGTGACGGCATTGTGACGAGCACGTGAAGCCGCTTCCCAATTGTTTTAGTCGGCCAGACTTAGGGAGGAAACCGGTGCTGACACAAACCAATTGCACCGTGATCGGCAAACGACGAGGTGGAGGGAGTCGCTGTTGAAAGTCTGTAATTTCCATTGGAATTGCTGTTCAGCCATCAGCTGCTGAAGGACACTGCCGGCTGGATGGCAACGGCCATTAGCCGCTGTCACCCCAGCGTGACTTTCTTTCCCCTACAGACCATGGAAAAGTAAGACCTCACTGGCCAGTGTTGGGCGCCTACTTGTGAAACTCCCCCTTGTTCAGGGGAAGGGAGGCTCTTGCCCCTGGAAGCCCGGCCGGCCTGCCCTCCCCCCTCCGCTCCAGCAGAGACCCAGAAGCCCACCGGCCCTGGAAGAAACGCCCTCCTATGCCTTGTCTGCGTGAAGAGCCCTCGCGTGGTGGCTGGGAGCGACATGTGCCTGGGCTGGTCTCCTGGGCGCACGGACTCCCCCATGCCCCTTCCTTTGTGCCGGGGTTTCAGTCCCAGAGGGACACGGAGCTGGCTGCGGGGCGTGAGCGGTGTGCTGTGAGCCTTCGGGGGGACTCGCAGGCTTCCTTGCCAGCCGCGGGTGCCCACCCCCGCTGCCGCTTTATTCTGGAAGGGGCTCACCGGGGACGTGCTGCCGGAGGAGTTTGGGTCTTTCTTTTTTGGGGGGTTTCCAGACCAAAGTGTGTGCCCTCTGCAGCTGCGGAAGTATGCACGGACGTCCTCTGCTCTCTGTGACTGGCGCGCGACTTCTTTTAGGAAAAGTCAAGGTTCTTTCTGTTTGTTCTTTTCAAACGGCACTAGAGCGACTGGCCACTCTCAGCATTTAGCAAGTGGGAAGTGGGCTCTTTTCCTAAGGTTAGGGTGGCTGTGGACCAGACAGACAGACAGACAAATGTACCAGGCAGGGCTGAGCCTTCCGACAGCCAAGCCCAAATGTGAAAGAATCAGGTAGTTAGCCGGCCCGGGGAGAGCGGCTGTGGACGTTCCTGTGAATCTCGCAGGGATCTAAATGCGGGCAATGAATCAAGAGCGCGTGGCCCGGCCGGCTAGTCCTTCCATTGGTCTGTTCCTAACATAGTCATCTAGCGTCCGCGTTAAACTTATTTATTTCCTAATGCTGGGTGATGGATTAAAAGATGTGTAGAAAATCCTTCTACAAGAGATAAGCTATTGCCGGCTGCCACAACACCCCCGGCTCTTTTTGCTTTCTCTTGCTGTTTTTTTCTCCTTTTCAGCGCAGAGCTCAGACCCCCACATCGTATATCTTGATTAGATGGTGGATATTACTAAGGGGATGTTTTTTAAGCCTATCATTGACACATTTAATTCATTAGGTACCAAATCCACAAGCAAATTTTGGCTGGCCGTAAAACATGGTTAATCTAGGGAGCTGCAGTAAAAGGTGAAAAATTATGTCCCGGCAAATGTGGAATATTGCTTTTCTGTAGAGACTTTTACTGGTCTACGATATCTTTCTTCATAAATTTTTCTTGTGCTCCGTTCTCTTGGTAACTTAACCATTTGTTGTTTCCAGACCACAGAATGGCTCAATGATCCTCTACAACAGGAAGAAAGTAAAGTACAGGAAGGATGGATACTGCTGGAAAAAGAGGAAAGACGGGAAGACGACCAGAGAGGACCACATGAAGCTGAAGGTCCAGGGAGTGGAGGTAAAGGGCAGGAAGGCTCTCTCGGTCCACAAATGTTGTTTCTGGGCTGCAAGGACACAGAATCGCTTTGGAGTAACTTGCTGCCAGTATTTTTGTTTGCCAAGACCCTGTTTGCTGTTTTGTTTTGTTTGCTGCTTTCTTACCCAACAGTCTCCAATCCGGTTGTCCGTGAAGGCCAGGTTAGCTAATGTCCTCGTGCTTTTGGGGAGTCCTTGATGTATAGACTGGCGTTTGCTGGGTTCCTGCAGAGTCCTGTGTTGTGTGTATCACAGAGGGACATGGAGGGTGCAGGAGCGAGGGAGAGGGGCCGCCTGAGGTCTCCCTCTCGAGGTGGCCTGGACCTGCCTCTGTTGAGCGGGTCCCTTGGGAGCTGGTGATCTCCAACCAGAGCCTGGCTTGCCTCCCTCTACTAACAGCCTCTTCTGTTTCCCTCTGGGTGTTTGGACCTCAGGGAGCTCGAAGGTGTTAAAGAAAATTGGATGGGATCGCAAGGTGTGTGGGATTCTTGCGGCTGGGATAGAGGTGGGTGCTGTGGGACACGTCTTGGGATCTGTGCAAACTTCAGCTTGGGTCCTGGGGGAAGACAGGGAGCAGGCTGGCTCCTTTGCTGTTGTTCTGACACCACAGGCTCTCACTCTTGGGTGGCCATGGAGACATTCTCCTGAGGTCGTTTCCTTGTTTGAGGGCCCGAGCCACGTGCCACAGTGGGAGAGGGAGAAGGTATGAATCACGGTGCATTCTTGGCCTGCTAGTTAGCAAGCAGCCACGTCTCAGCTCTGTTTGCTGATCCTCATAAGGGATCTCCCCCGTAAAGGATCTCCCCGTAGCCCAGTGCTGTGTCCCGCCAGGAGCTGAGAAGCTGGCCTGGGACCCACTCAGTATTTTGCACTGATGAAAGCCAGGGATCATGGAGGCCATTGGTGTGTCGGGCCCCCAGCCTGCCGGGACTGATCACGTGGACCGTGAGCCCACTTGACTTCAATGGCTCCCACTCCAGGCTGACGTTCTTTGTGACGCACTTCGTCATTGTGGCTTTTTCTATATTAATCACGCGCTTTTATGGCTGTTAAAAATAGCATCCGGTGGCTTTTATTATATTACCTCACAGAGAGAGAGAGCTTTTGTTTTATGTTGTGTGTGTGTGTGTGTATGTTTAAACACCCAATAACAATGCTTTCTAGAGAACAACAAAGAAAAGCCCGGACACGAGAAATTCTTCTTCGGTACGTTCTCTCGTGTTCTGTGTTTGCACAGAGTGCTCGAGTCGGCTGGTGAGACACGAAAATGCAGATGGCCCCAGTGTGCTGGGTCTAGCTCTAGGATGGTGACTGGGGATCACGCCCGCTGACCAGCCAGGGCTGCGGGGGGCTCGGAAGGAGCGGAGTGGGCGGGACGCGTGCGGGGGTCTTGCTGGGACTTGCAGGGTTGCGGGAGCTCACGCCAGAGCTGCACCGTCGGCCCCGTGCCCACAGGTCTCTGGCGGGGCTTGTCCTCGGTCCTACGTAAGTGAGGAACTTCTGGTCGTCTACGGAGACCGGGTGGAATTCGCCCTGGGCAGCAGCTCAGAAGCCCAGGGCCAAAAACCGCCAGTGTTCCCTTTTTTCCCTCACGTGATAAGTGAGAATTGTCACTGGGTGGAATCAGAATGACGTGCGGTTGTTTTTCGGTCATGTTTATCTTTGGAGTTCTTTGTGGCTCAGGCTTACTGTCTCCCGTGCAGACACCTGTATGGGGGGAGCTGGGATCCTCGGGACGCCAGGGAAGGGACAGCAAGGGGTCTCTGTGACTTGCTGAGCATAAGCGGCCTTGCGGAGTGGGAACAGGAGAGGGGCTTAGAGACCCTTGGTTGGCCACATGCGGGGCCTGCTTTCTGGTTCTTGGAGAGGGAGGCCACCACGGTGGGTACATGGTGTGGCCCAAGTGGGCTGGAATGACCCGAGAAGCTTCCTAGTGAGACGGGCTCGAAGCTCAGCTCTTGAGGTTGGGTAGGACTGTGTCCTTGACTCACCTAATATTCTAGGCTCGCCTTTTCACGTAGCGCAGGGGTCTGAGTGACATCTCTGTTGATAGGTACAGCCCCCATCCCTTTTCCCTGCTCTGCAGTGTGTCACCACAGACGCATTGGAGCCACTCCCCACTCAGCGGACTCTTAGATTTGGCTGAGCGTGTCAGCATTACAGTGCATCAGGAAATCAGCTAAGACATGCCTGCTTGTCCACATGTGTAGCCTGGATCTGCCAGAGTGGCCGGGAGCAAGGTCTGAGCGTCTCGTGTTTTACTGGACACTACAAATGGCTGTGCCAATTACACGCCCAGCAGCGCCACGAGTCACCGTCCCTTCCCTACCCTCCTCTAGGTACGCCGATGGACACACCTAGTTATCTGTGGGGATGAGCACGTCATGTTAGTGGAAGTCCTTTGTGATGGGTTGTCTACCACAGGCATAATTTTAAAGCAGCTGCAAGGAAAGACTTTTTTGGCAAGAGCAGCCCCACATCTCACTGTGCCTTTCCTGCATTTGCTCCGGTATGTACCGGTGGCAGGGAAGCCCAGAGGTCATGCGGGGACAGGGGGCAGGCGGTCCTTTCTATGAGGGAAGTCGCCGTGCAGACATACATGGAGCTCTGTGTCTCACGGGAGGAGGCTTCTGCGTGGGAACCCCGACTCTTCCTTCATTGGATTCAGCCGGGTGGTTCCCATGGACTCAGGACATCCATCATGCCAGGCTTGGGACCAGCCCCTGCCCCTGCCGTGGGGGTGGCAGACGGTCCAGCACAGGGTCTCGGAGATGTGCTTTTTCTACCACTGAGCTGGCTTCCTCAGTTCAAGGGCATGATAAAGATATTCCGATCTACCGTTTAGCATATCACTTGCCATAAGCCTTCCCTCAGGCCAGGAAAACTTCCAGCCCTGTTCACGGAACTGCTCAGCAGTCCGGCTTCTTTTGTTCTCCGAGGCTGGGGCCCTAGGAACACGCGGCGGCTCGAAAGCACATTGATTTTCTCAGCCCGGCACAGGAGGGGGCAGCCGCTTCTGAAGCTGACGAGCTGTTAAGTCCAGGATTAGTCGTCTTGTCGGTAAGCCACGGAGAAGCTAGCTCGATAAGGTTTCCAGGGACGACAAAGGTCGGCAGGGAGGAAAAAGAAGGTGGTTGTGATGTCAACGTTTCATGAGATGAAATCGCAGCAGGCCCGAGGTCGGCCCTGCTCCCCAGGCAGAGTCGTGCCTGCTTCTTTGGAGCCTCGATGCGGGGAGGAGCTCTTGGGGGGAGGAGACTCCCTGAGAGCAGAGGGGCAGGTCTGAAGTGTCCCCATGCCTCCGGGATTGCCACACCGTGGGTTAGGTGAGCTGGGTGAAGTCTTTGGGCCAAACCGAAAGAGTTCATGTACTTTCAAGTTCGTGGAGCTGTTCTCTGGCCCAGAAGCTTATGGCTCTATTCAGAACCTAGGCCAGCGCTGGGTTCTCTGCTTCCTGACCCCTTCTGTGCCAGATTCCCACAGCAGACAGGAACCCCACACTTAGTAAGTCGCTGGCTTACGAATCCCCGGCTCTACTATCTCATTCAACCCTCATTGAAACATCCGTGTAAATTTCCTATTCTTATACCCATCTCATAGATGAAAAGACTGAGCCCCGACAAGGTTTCTACTGCCCCCCTGTCCTGCCACAAATCAGCATGGGGCCACGACTTGAGCTGAGGTTTGCCTGGTTGTACAGCGAAAGCACTTGCCATGACACCCGTTGCTCCCGGGTGTTCTGGAGGGATCTGCGGTATTTTCAGATCGAGTCAACACCTACTCTCCATCCGCCAGCCAGCTGCCAAGCGCCTTCCATCCAACACATTGTGATAGATACTGAAGATGCAGCGTTCTGATCTCACGGTGGCGGGAGCGGGGAGGTGATGACAAAACTTCAAGTCCGCATCTCCAGTGCCAGGTCAGGAGGGGCGTGTCGGAGGAATGGCACGTCCTCGTGGGGAACACATAGAAAGCGTCCCTCGGGCAGACTCGGACGCCAAGAAGTGACATAAACACAGGGAAAGAGGCACTGGGGGGAGGGGAAAGCAGCAGCAGGGCTGGGACGCTGTGCTGGGCAGTGAGAGTCTGTCGAAACCCAGCTGACGTGATCTGAAGCAACAGGTGGCCGGAATCACACCACGTCAGGGTCTGTCCTGGCCCCACGTGGACCACATGACGGCCTCCCAGGAACGAGGCCTTCTCGCCGCTGATCCTGAGGCACTGCGTTCGCCACAGCCCGTCCCGCCTCGGCAGCCAGTGGGTGGTCACGCCCAGAGGCCGTGGGCTCAGCTGCAGGCAGCAGGGACAAAGACCTCCTCCCCCACACCGAGCCCCTGCTGTGCTAGACGGGAACCCCCGGCCCGGACCATCTGCCTGGATTGGAAAGTTTCGTTTTGCTGACCTGTTCGTACCTTCTCGAAGAACGGAGACTTCTTGACTAACTGCCTGAAAGCCCGAAGCCTGCTGGGAGCCCCGCAGCGGCGGTAACAAGGTTATGTTTTTGGACTCAGCCTCATTAAAGTGATGTTCTTTATTGGGACACTTACGCCACATATTAAAAAGTAAAAAAAAAAAAGCACCTCTTTCAAAAGTCGGAATGATATCGTAGTTACCGCATCAGGAGTTAACAGGGCATGAAGTAACTGTCTGCCTCGTGGCGGTGCCAGATCGTTCCAGCCCGGCTTGCGCCGGAAGATAAACAGGCATCTTGCTGGCCGCCCAGGGAACGTGTGTGAAGTCGCCGGCCGCACGCATGTGGGGGGCCCCGAGCCGGTTCGGGAGACAGCTCGGAGCAGATCAGGAGGGAAGGTGGCCGAGCCGCTAGGCTCCTGAAGTCGCCACGTTGTCCCCAGCTGTTTTGAAGAGAACCGATACTTCTTGCACCCGTGGGTGCTGGTGGGGCTAGTGGTCCCCGCCGCTGCCCTCCAGACTGGCCATGCGCCCGCCGGTGGCTACTGCGTGTCACTCCTTGCTCCCAGCCCG